CATATACGTATAGTAATATCAAAAAAAAGTATCGCTGCAGTACACTTGTTTTGATAGATGTGTGGTATACAGTAAAAGTAAATGTATGAAATAAACGAAGAAAAAAAATAAAGGCATCAATAAGAGTAAAATGAGACATTGGAGACTAGATTTAACAGAGAACAAGAAAGAAAAGAAGAAAAAAGAAAATGAAAATTATGATTTTATATATATCACTATTCTTATGTTTATTTTGGTTTCTATAATTATATCAATAATTGTTTGTTTTTAACTTTTCCATCTAAGACGTTTAACTGAACGTTGACTACCACATAATTGACACTCTATTCGCCATAAACCAATTGATTTTATCAAATGTGTTCGTGCTTTTTGACATGCTAGACAAGTAACATATTCATCAAGAAATGTTTTCAATACATTATCAAAAGTTGTTCGAGTTGTTCGAGCATTAAATGTTAATTGTTCACGTTGATTTATTGATGATTTACAAGCATAATATTGATTAATATATTGTTGAAATAATTGTGCATCACGATTTAATGCACGAAATAATCGTACATAAGATTTCCAATTAATAAGTATTGAACGTGAATGACCAACATTTAAATCAGCATGTGGAATTGTAACGGGTGTTTGACAACGTGATATCATTTCAATTCGATCTTGTTCTTGCCGTACTAGACAACGAGCAAGAAGATGATCATAATCATATAATAAATTCGTAGAATTTGAATTCTTTTCTATTGAATGAATTTGTTCACAAATTGGATTTGAGTCTGAAATAGGAGAAGACGGCGGAGAAGAAGAAGATAATGGATTGTTAAGATCTTTGTTTTCGTTTTCTTCTTCTTCTTTTTCTTCTTCATTTGATTGTTTCAATTGCTCATCAGTCGGTAATGCAATAACTTCTTCAGTTGCAGATGATGGTCGACGACTGGATTGAGAAGAATCTGATTTTGAAGGTGATGAACTTCGTCGAAAAAATCGTTTAAAATGACTAAATAATTTTCTTTCAATCCATGATGTTGTATTTGTATTTGTTGTTACTACTGTTGATGTAGTTGTGGAAGAAGATGATGATACTATTGATGGTGTCCAACTATTTCTTCGATCATATTCATCTGATAACATAAACTCTTTTTCTGTTATCATCAACATCTGCGGCAAATAATCAATGTCGGTACACATTTGTATATAAGATCTATAAATAGAATTAATCGAATATATGAATGAGTTCGTTTTAATTCTTTTCTTTTATATATTAATAATCAAATTCGAACTTTACTTCGTCTTCTTCTCGGTTTTCTTTGCTTACTCTGTAAATATATCGTTTTCTCTTTTATATACTTCATCTTTTCGCTGTATGTGTGCGGAGAAAATGCGCTCGTCAAACGCGAGAAAGAAAAACAAAAACACTGACTATGAATCTTTGCTTATTCTCAGCTGTTTAGTAGTACAAATGAAAATAGAAAGGAAAGGGAAAAAAAAGAAATAAGAACGGCGATAACGACGTCAACCACAATAAAAACTGCGTATTAGAGAAAAGTGGGTGGTTTAGAAGTTCTGATGTCATTTTCTGATGACATGATTCTATTATTAGAAATAGATGATTGAACTACGAATAAATACGGAAATGTTTTCTATCACAATTCTTTTCTAACAATTATACATTGTAAATAGTAAATGTATATCCATCGTTTTTGTTTCATACTAGATTGGATACAATGACAAATACGAAGGATAACAAAATAGACACATTGAGTAGACGATAATAGCATAGTTTCAATGTAAACGGTACACCTTGATCTTGTATCTGTTCCCACTAACATCTAAGAAAAACAACATAACAAGACATCAATCAAAAGAGAAACACCTGACATTATTGTTTTATTTATTACAATTTAATCGATTTCGTACACTTCCTCAATTATGTAAAGATCATCTCGTTTGTTTCTTATCATTATAACAGTTCTCTCGATTATTCTATCTCTAAGAATATGCATATATTACAATTCATTATGTTATTGTGATGTTTGGATAATATGTTATTTCAAGGACAATCACGTACGAGTTATTGCGCGCGCGTCTTTGTTAGTCTTTCTTTTTTTTTCATATCTTAGTACATTTTCTGTTTTATGCGTAATAGTACTGATTGGAAATATAATATTCATATTCTTACAACTCTCAATAATAATAATAAAAGGGCAACAGTTGTTAATAATAATTCAAAAGAATATAGTATAATCAAGAATGAAAATGATTTTATTTGTCGATCAATCGATAATCTTAAAAAAATCATTGAAAATCTTATTTTTCAAAAAATTCAAAATGAAAAATTTCAATGGCTTCTAAATTACATCAATCAACTTCTAGTCACTTTTAAATATCAATATTATAGTAATGCAACAACTGTTTTTAATATTATCCCAGACATTTATTTGATAGAAGACAGATCGCAGCAGCAGCAGATGTCATCGAATTCGTAAGCATAAATTCACATGGACATTAAGGTCGACTTATACTTTTTTTTTATGTTTTCAATTTCTTCGAACTGAAAGTAAAATGTTGTTATTGTTTTGTGACATTAACTGTCGATTTTTATTCTATTGTTTTGCATATGTCTCATAGTTGTTTTTTCAATTCAGTCTAAACATGTTTGTTTGACCTCTACTGTTTTACTTTTACTATGTCATCTAATTCCAAAGAAGAAAAATAAAGGGGTGTCTGGGAACTTTGATTTAAAATAACCGGATTCAATCAAGAACGACGTCGACACTTCTAATTTCATATAGATTTCCGAATGCTTATTTTCCATTTCCGTTTGATAATGTTTAACTAATGTCTACGTCTTATTTAAAGTAAAAATATCTACATAGTAATATTCTTAATAGTCTATGTCTATATAACTAATTATAAACCAAAGAATTCATTTCGTATATTTTTAGAATAAAAGAATCAAAAACAATATTGAATTATTCTTCTAATAATAAAAATAAAATATCAATTTTTGAACGAATTTTTTATCCAATAAAAATACAATTAATTGAGTACATTATTAAACAAATAATAATTAACGAATTGTGGCAGAAATTAACTATAGAATGTTATGGATCGTTCGAGCGAAGAATTCATTTAAATGTACTTTTTCGATTGAAATACTTGAATAATCAACTATTATTAACAATAAATAAAATATTACGTAAGTTTGAATAAAAAACAAACTTGTTGATATTTATCAAAAAATATTTACGTCAATAAATATTTACGTCAATAAATTTTTTCCCGATGTGTCTAATGCGAATAAACATTACTAATATTATGTTATTCGATACGGATGAATACACACACCTAAAAGATCAACACCCAAACCAGGTAGACCCGGTTATTTATCCACGACGTAATATGAACGACGAAAAAAACCCAGATCGGGGCAGAAATGTTTTTGAGATAACCCTAGTTTCAATGAAAACTATTGAGAATATTTTTATTTGATAAATTAAAATTAACTTATAAACAATAAATCTTAAATTTTTTTCGATTTAAAAATAAATCAATTTCAAATAGAAAATCATCGTGTTAGTAAATATTCACAAAAATCTATAATGAATAACGTATCTCCGATTAATATTCAAATGTGTTGTCGGCAAACGTATGATCGATCAACATCAGCACATACATCTCGAAAGGAATCTCATCGACATTATGCATCTTTGTCAACAATAAGAAATAAGATAAAACAATCTACACCTACAAATATAATATCAAATATAGAAAACAAATTAGGTACAAATACAAAAGATAACATAAAAGCAGAGAAAAATCGAGATTATTTAATTACATCAAATACACTGAAATATCATTCAACACCAACAAATTCTGCCAGTACATCAGATATTTATATTAAATTATCAGATTGTCAAAATGCGTGCAGGTCAGTATGATTTTATTTTATGAAAAACAAATTTCATAAGTTATTAAATAGACGTTGGGCTATGAAACATAAGAAAAAGAAGCAAACAAAAAAATATTCACATCGAAAAAGAAAACTACCTATTTGTTATCGTAATTTTCCATTGTCTTTCAACGCTCAATCCAAGTATAACAATATACGAATAGATATAATGTCAACTCAGTCAATTTTAGATCTGCTGTTCAAGTAAAGATTCAAAAAATCTCTTGCAAAAATAGTCTCAGTGATGACATAGTTCATAAATCATTGATTTGTTTTGGTATGATTTTTTTTATCCCGAAATAATGAATATTAGTATTTAATTAAGGTACTGGAACTATTAATTTCATTGATGGACCAGATGGACCTATACTCTGTTTGAATCAAGAAGATTCAACAAATGATAAACAGATTGATTTATATCGGCATATATCAAACGATGAAATAGATTACAGTAGTGAAGATGATGAATCATGTTTAGATAGTGATTCTAAATTAACTTCAAGTCTATCTGTAATATCATCGTATATATTCGACACAGAAAAGATTTATAATACCAATATTGAACCGGAAGTTTTACTATTAAATGAAATTGATACTTGTATAATGTATCAATGTCCTTCAGAAGTAACAATACTATTAAATATAGGATCAGCATGTATTCTTACAATAATCAATAGCTTATCAAGAATACAAACAGCGAGTTTACCATTAATAATTACAGAATTAGATAATATAAATCTATGGCAATATAAAACTTTGTTGAATATAAGCATTACTACTAATATCAAAACTGAAACAGAAAATTCAAGTTTGAAATAGATATCTTTCAGTTCTATAAATAAGCCGGATTTTTATTCAGAATCTATTCTTAATGATATAGTTATAAAACAATCAGACCGAAATTCATATAGTGAAAATAAAAATACTGATTCTTCAAATGATAAATTCCCTAAGTTACTATCATTCACAAATCAACAACTACTAGAAGGTATACATATCTAAAGTTATTTGTAAATATACTGCTGATTTCAAAAGATGATCCAACTAAAATCTTTCATCCTATACAACACGATAGTGAACATTGGAATGAAGTTGATTCTTTGAAAGCAACAGCCAACGAAGCAATTCTTTATTCGGATCATCAATCTATATCTGAAAATAAAGGTACGAACATATTTGTTAATTTATTTATCTTATGTACAATTATTCTATCTTCAATGAAAGAAACTCAATTTTTGGGAAGTTTCGAAGAACTTTCTATAGAAACTAAACAATCATCCGATAAAATTTCATCATTACTAACAGAACTAGAAAGTGGTACCAATCATCTTGTCGGTAATCAACGATCTACAACTACTATCGGTAAGTAGATAGAAACAATGCATTTGATATTATTCTAAGATATATAATTAAGAAATTATTTTATTACCTTAAAAGAAGAACAGCAAATATTCGATGAATCATTCATAGCAACACCTACATGTGTTCAACTCCATCATTCATTCGAACAAATTATCAATATAAATTCTGATCGACTCCTATCAACATCTTCTCTTTCATATGATAAAAACTCAACTTTTTCTAAACATCACATGTTACAAAATTCTGATAATGATCAAGAAGGTAAAACGGATGTTGCTCATCAAAGTAATACTTCCATTAAATAATTATATTTCATAATGATGAAATCTCTTTATTTTTAGATGATTTAAAAATAAATGATAATACATATCAGGTTAACAGTGAGTTTTTAATATCATTCGTAATTAACTCTAATTTCTTCTTTGATGTTTCAAGATATCAACCATGAAGAAAAAATATCTCTTTCTAAAACACAATCATCCAATGTGAAATATCCACCATTGATGTCAATATCTCATTTAAAAAGAAAAACCCTGCCTGGTATTTTTAGAATAAAATTAAGACAAATAAATATACAATATTTTGTAGAGAATATAGATGTACATTCATTACAAGACTCATCTGAGACAATGTCTGGTGAACTAAATACTACAGTTCAATATTCGAACGAAAAAAAACAATCGAATGAGAAGCTTAAA